CATTTTAAAATTTTTCCCAACAAGTGACCATACCAATTTGTTCCAACTTCTCACCAACATTTAGTATTATTTCTTTTTTTTTTTACAATTCGGTAAAAGAAAAGTAGCTTCTTATTATTTTAGCTCCAAATTACTACAGAACATTAAAAGAAGATGGAAGGAGTATACAGAATCACTGTACCAAAAGGAATTGGTTGACACAGAAGAACAGAAGAATTTCATGAGACAACTTATGAATAAGAGCCTGTGATGATGAATAAAGTTCAAGCTGCTCTGAAAAAATCAGACCAAAAACACAATGCCTCGGGAATTGATGGCATACCAATTGACATATTTCAACAAACAGATGCTGCCCTGGATGTGCTCACTAAGATGTGCCAAGGAATCTGGAGGACAGCCACCTGGACAATTGATTGGAAAAGATCTCTATTTGTTCCCATTTCAAAGAAAGGTGACCGGACAGAGTGTGCTAATTATTGAACAACATCATTAATATCACATTTAAGCAAGATTCTGCTGAAAATGATCCAAAAAAATGACTGGAACAGAACATCAACAGAGAACTGCCAGATGTGCAGGCTGGGTTTAGAAGACACCATGGTACTAGGGATCTTATAGCTAATGTTAGATGGATCTTGGCTGAAAGCAGAGAGTACCAGAAGAACATCTATGTATGTTTCATTGACTATGCAAAGGCATTTGACTGGATCACAACAAACTGGCTAACTCTGAGAAGAATGGGTATTCTAGAACACTTGATCATGTTTATTCAAAACCTGTACTTGGACCAGGAGGAAGTTGTCAGAACAGAGCAAGGAAACACTACATGATTCAAAATTGGGAAGTATGTATGCCAGGGATGTGTCCTATCTCCATACCTTTTCAATCTATATGCAGAACAGATCATCTGGGAAGCTGGGCTCTATGAGGAGGAATGTGGCACCAGGATTGGAGGAAGACTCATCAACAATCTCTGTTATGCACATGACACAACCCTGCTTGCTGAAACTGATAAAGACTTGAAGCACTTGGGGCAGAAGGTCAAGGATTTCAGCCTTCAATATAGATTGAAGCTCAATATCAAGAAAACAGAGATTCTCACCACTGGGCCAATTGGCAACATCATGATAGATGGTGAAGATATTGAGATTTTTATCAGCTTCTGTTTGCTTGGCTCCACAATCAACATTCTTGGTACCAAAAGCCAGGAAATTAAAAGATGAATCACACTGGACAAGTCTGCTGTCAGGGACCTCTTCAAAGTACTGAAAAGCAACAATGTCAGTCTGGAGATTAAGGTATGCCTGATCCAGGCCTTAGTCTTTGCAATCACTTGCTATGCATCAGAAAGCTGGACAAAGACTAGGAATGATAAAAAGAGAATTGATGTCTTTGAGCTGTTGTACTGGAGAATAATATTGAATATACCATAGACTGCTAAGAGAACAAACAGGTTTGGAGTGAGTGTTGACAGTTTACTGTTTATAACCAATCTGTTATTTTGTTGAAAGATGACCTGCAAAGATAGCTTCAAATTCACATTCCAAGTAGTTATCTTAGGGTTAGAGTCGCAGGAGTTACTCTAGTCCCTTAATAGTCCCTTAGACCTGGCTGCCTTTTTTTTTAGGTTGTTTTGTGTTTTACATTTCTCCCCCATGGTACCTATTGCATTGCTGGTCAAAACACTAGTAGTGGTAACCAGGTACCACCCTCTAGTTCTTCTGAGCTTTGGTTAGAAGATGCGGTTCATGTGGGTTATTAGTCCCAGGAACTGGTTTCTTTTTTCAGATGACACAACCCTGTTTGCTGAAACGGAGGGGGACCTGAAGTACTTGTTGCAGCAGGTCAAGGACTGCAGCCTTCAATATGGATTGAAGCTCAATATCAAGAAAACAAAGATTCTCACCACTGGGCTAATTGGCAGCATCATGGTAGACGGTGAAGAGCTTGAGATTTTTAACAGCTTCAGTTTGCTTAGATCTACAATCAATATTCTTGGTATCAGCAGCCAGGAAATTAAAAGACAAATTGCATTGGGCAAGTCTGCTGTCAGAGACCTCTCCAAAGGACTGAAGAGCAACAATGTCAGGGTGGAGATTAAGGTGTGCCTGATTCAGGTCATGGTCTTTACAATTACTTGCTATGCATCAAAGAGCTGTACAACAACTAGGGATGATAGAAAGAGAATTGATGCCTTTGAGCTGTGGTGCTGGAGAAGAGTATTGAATATACTATGGACTGCTAGGAGAACAAACAAGTCCATCCTAGAGATCATGAGACCAGTCTGCTCTTTGGAGGCAAGGGTTCTGAAGCTCCATTTGACATACCTTGGAATGTTGCAAGGCAGGATCAGTCCTTGGAGACAGACGTCATACTTGGGAGGGTGGAGGGACAGCCAAGAAAGGAAGACCCTCAATGAGATGGATCGATTCAATGATTAGATTAATGGGGGTCAGTGTGTCAGAGACAATTAAGATTGGCATAAGATAGAGCAGGGTTTTAGGACTGCTGTACATAGGGTTATGAGTTGCAGGCAACTCTACAACACATAACAACAACTAGCAATATGCAGATGACACGATCTTGCTTTCATTATTCTCACTGAGACTTTGATCAGTATATTATCTGGTCTGGATTCCTGCATAACTCCTAGTTCGTGGAACTTTCTATCTTTCAGTTAAACCTTATTTTTATTTCTTTGGTTTACAAGTGCTATTCACTAAGGAATATGTTCCCAGAGCGCCCTTTATTTTTTTTAAAGACTTTTTTATTATTATTTGAGTGAAAGTTTACATTTCATATTGGTTTTTCATTAAACATTGATACATTTTCCCCCATCCATTCATTATTGCATTTTTCTTCCTCCCCTCCCTCCCCCCAATTCGGTCTTCTCTTTGAAAAGTAAAAGAAAAATTCTTTCAATGTTATACAACCCGCCCCCCAAATGCACTCTACTATGCAGCCTTCACTCTGGACTCTTGTCATGATAATAATACCTAATCATATATTATTTTTAAACAGTTCTCTCCCTTATCTGTTTCAATGCAGTATACATTATTTGTCCCCTCTTTCTCAGTCCCGCCAACCCTGATGTTAGTCCCGTTTTACAATAGTAGCACTATGCAGTATTTGTCCTTTTGTGACTGAGATATTTCACTCAGCATAATATCCTCCAGGATCATCCATTTTGAATAATATTTCATGAGTTCTTTGTTTTTCACTGCAGC